GCGACGTAATCGATTACGTCGACAAATCGCCCCAGCCCTATGTGCATCACATTTTCAGGTCGTTAATATGTTAACAATTCATAACGTTCATAAAATATATCATTTATCAATATTGATGAACACCACAAAGAATAGTATAGCGTTTAAAAGAAGAACTTGCATTTTCATGCAGTTCTCGGCAGGTATGCAAAATTCGGCATAACCACCCCCACAGTTAGCTGTCAATCTGTGAGAAACACTGTATTATACACACACACACACACACACACACACACACACACACACACACACACACACACCGTGATGCGATCAGCTGATGGTTTTACTAGTAGAGAAAGTCTCATTCTGTTGGAGTTGTTGGAGCTACATTAACACTCAGTCCACTGAATTGGTCAACTTAAATCAATGAATTAACGTTTGTTAGCAACAACTGATATGACTTGATGTTTCTCATTTAAAACAGCGACATGGTCGGCTAAAAGGGGGATGGCGCTATCTCAATGTTTTGTAACGTTACACTGAGCAAGAGATGTTTAGAGCTTATAAGGACATTGACTGAGCTTTGCAATCATGGCTGTCAAAACTCAAAAGTCGCTCAGTGCGCCGAAACAATTTTTCACACTGTCACACTAAAGAATTCTGTTCACTCATACATGCACTTAAAATGCTTATGCTTTAGAGCCCTGTGGTCCTTTCTTACAAAGAAAAAATTGTACATTTATTAAAATCAATAAGTAAGTGGACCATTGTTAGTATTTGACAAAAATACTAATTTAGTCAGCTAAATCACGTCTAATACTGTATTACTTACTTTACCCCGGCGGCAGGAAAGGGTGAGAAGCAGGCAGTCCCCAAATCAGACTGGCGCCACTTGTGAATGAGCTGTATGCTGCAGCAAAGCACAGTATAATGCAAACAAGTTAGATGCCACTCGGAATTAAAATTAAGACCAATTTTACAATAACCAAAGTTGAAGACTCTCTCTCTCTCCTTCACCCCCAACCGGTCGAGGCAGATGGCCGCCCACCCTGAGCCATGGTTCTGCTCGAGGTTTCTGCCTCTTAAAAGGAAGTTTTTCCTTGCCTCTGTCGCCTAGTGCTTGCTCTTGGTGGGAACTGTTGGGCTTCTGTAAATATCAGCACAGAGTACGGTCTAGACCTGCTCTTTTATGAAAAGCGCTGTGAGATAACTGTTGTTGTAATTTGGCGCTATATAAATAAAATTGAATTGAATTGAAAGACAAATGCCATATGAGAAAAACACATGAACTGACATCAATTAAGCTAACATTACTTACGGTTTAGGGATTTTTGCCTAAATGTTGAATATGATTTAATAATCTGAAAGATTGCAGATCCACAGTGTATCTTTCAGCGTGATGACATTTGATTATCCGATGTAAACTGCCAATTTACGTACATAAATCTGCTTAAAGGTCGCAGAAAAAACACTAACGTTAGGTTAGTTAACTTAACCTGCCTGAGAAATAATCACATTTCAAGTTTTCTTCAGTAATAAAGTTATCAGGTGTTAGTTGTCTGTACAACCACCTTTCCATTGCAAACTGTAAGGTTAACTGCTAAGTATTTAACGTTAGCTTTTTTGGCATACTTTTAATGGCATCAATTACAAAAAAATATTAGCAAATATCAGCTAAAAACGGACTTGTAAGTTGTAACGTTACTGGAACCTGCTATCTAAATTAGGCTCATAGGTTAGGCTATCAGATTAGCTTAATGTGACATGATGTTAAAATCACTCCTCTCACATCTCATCCAAATTGGGCTTTGTTAACTTTTAGTTAGCTAGCTTAACATTAATGCTAAGGTGCTGTAACACGAGCTAACTTAGCTTGCCATAATCGGATATTGTCTAAATTAAAACGGCAACCAAAGCAACATTATCTATGACCTGTAAAGTTATAATTTTACCGACTAGGCAACTGTACAAATCAATCATATTTTGACAGCGCAGTTTAACGTTACTTACCGTATCCGTGTCCTCCGAGAGAGATGCCGATTCCCACTGCAAGCGCTCTGCTGTCTGTGAGAATAACGGTCAGCGATGGTTAAGAATTTTTAAAACCGGTGCGTTCGTTGTTGCCGGATCGAGTCCAGTACAACCCATGCCGAAGGTGCCACTTGAGCAAGGCCCTGAACCCCGAGCTGCTTCCCAGGCGCCATATGATGGCAGCCCACTGCTCCTACATAGGATGGGTTAAATGCTGAGAACAAATATCCCCTTCACCCTCCCTTCCTCTCCCCCGCACCATTTTCAAACAGTCACCTTTCCCCTATGACACGCTGCCACCCCCCCTCTCTGACCCCTCATCTGCACTCAAGATCTGTGAAGGCAGAAGATCAGGAAGGCTCCTGGTTCCTTATCAGGAAAGCTCCTGGCCCTGACGGTGTGTCTCCATCCTGCCTGAAAATCTGTGCAGACCAGCTGGCCCCCATCTTCACACAGATCTTCAACAGATCACTGGAGCTGTGTGAAGTTACCTCCTGCTTCAAATGCTCCGCTCTGGACAAAATGACTACAGGCCTGTTGCCCTGATATCTGTAGTCATGAAGTCCTTTGAAAGACTGGTGTTGGCCCACCTGATGGACATTACAGACCCCTTGTTGGACCCCCTGCAGTTTGCCTACAGGGCTAACAGGTCAGTGGATGATGCAGTCAGCTTGGGACTGCATTACATCCTGCAACACCTTGATGCTCCAGGGACATATGCAAGGATCCTGTTTGTGGACTTCAGCTCGGCATTCAGCACCATCGTCCCGGACATCCTCATCACCAAACACACCCAGCTCACTGTGCCAGCCTCCACCTGTCAGTGGATCACAAACTTACTGACTGACAGGAGTCAGCAGGTGAGGCTGGGGAACATCACATCCAGCACCCAGACTATCAGCACTGGTGCCCCGCAGGGGTGTGTGCTCTCCCCACTGCTCTTCTCCCTCTACACCAACAACTGCACCTCAGGAGACCCATCTGTCAAACTCCTGAAGTTTTCTGACGACACAACGGTCATTGGCCTCATCTGGGACGGTGACGAGTCAGCCTACAGACAGGAGGTGATCAGCTGGTTCTCTGGTGTGGTCAGAACAACCTGGAGCTTAACACGCTGTTAAACTGTGGAGATGATTGTGGACTTCAGGTGGACTGTATGCCAAAACCAACAGACTTAGGAACAGTTTCTTCCCACAAGCCATCACTCTGATGAACAGCTGATTTCTGTCTCAGTGTCAGGAACAATTCCTGTGCAATAACCCAGTAACTCTGATCTAATCTATATTGTTTTTGTTCATAGTGTGTATATTTGTGTTATCTACACTGAAGTCTGTGTTTGATTTTATCTTATTTTATTTTTTATTTTACACATCGTGAGCAATGTACAATCCTCCGATGTGTACACATACCTGGCAATAAAGCTGATTCTGATTCTGATGATCACGGTGAGGCGGCGCTGCTGGAGGTTATGATGGATCTGGGATAACCTCTATGCCTGGGTGGCAGTCGAATGGGGTCGAATTCAAGGCGTAGATAAAATCAGTATCTGAGGTATCTTTGTGGTCAGAAACCATGCTGGGTAGGGTCATGTGGGCAGATGGTTCTGGTGTGGGCGCCGCCACAAAAGGAATGGCTGTAGAGGAAACGGTGACTTGGAACATTGCGACGTAATTCATTGAAGTTATTGCAAACCATTCTGCCGTTGGTACAGTATGGGCCTTCCCTTGGTTGACTTCCTAAGGAATCGGACCGTGGCCGTTTGTGCAATGTTTTCTGATAGAAGCGTAGGTGGGTATAGTAGTGGCCATGACGCAGCTGGTGGCTGAATGAGGAAGGGTGCCACACAGGTTGCAAGCCAGGGAGGAAGGGGATCAGGTGACTGAGTATACAGTGCCCTCATGTGAGAGATACCAGAATGAATTGCTGTGGATGAGAGGAGGAGACCACTGGGAATGCCTATACACAGAGTCCGTTTTTTTGCTATGCCCATGGGTGCCCCAGTAGGTGCCCTGATTAAACTGCCGGAGGTGGCATGTGGCCTGGTAAGCGAAATGGATGTGATATGTGAAAACCTGTGAGAACTGTGATTTGTCGTTCACAGTCTAACTTTAGCATAATCAAAATAGGGTGTGTTCATAGTGAGTGTACGTCTTCCTTTTGGATTTTTATACATCAGAGTTGCAAGACATGTACCTATCAGCACACCTGTAGCCATTAGCGATGACACAGAGACACTACTTTGGGGATTGGTTCCAGGGACGCTGCAATGTCATGCTTCCCAATTCAAGTACTCCTGACTGCAGTGTGCAGATCGGGGTGGTGCTCAGCATGACATGATGATGAGACCCGCATGCACAGAAGAGGGAGCATTTCCACTACTGTTCTTAGAAAAATGCACAAATGTCTCCTATTTGTAGATTATGAATTTATCTAATTCCAATATTCAACCATAATGTAAATGTAAGGTCTGTACAGGAGGGAAAGAACTTAACTTGTGTTAAATTCACCTCAGGGCACCACTCTTAAAGAAGAGAGAAACTAATTTAGCCTCATAATATACTTAACTATCAATTTTCACTCGTGCAAAATTAAAGAAACCAGCATGTACACAAGCATTTATTTAAAAGATAATGAAAAGCATAACAACACGATGGAACCTAACTAAAATACACTAAACTAAACAAAACAAAGAGATGTGTGTGTGTGTGTGTGTGTGTGTGTGTGTGTGTAAGAGTCACTTTATTCTGCCTCCTGACACAGACTACATGCTTTTTACAGCCATTCGCTTTTGTAATAAATGCTGACGCAATGACCTTTAAAAACACTTTAATACACTGTCTGTTGTCTTGATGAACCAGGGGGAGTGACTTTCTACCATGAAGACATTCTACATGGTTTGTATGGATAACTATCTGTATGTGACTCTCATTGTTTCTCTCTTCATTTTTCTTTTCATCTTTCTTCATGCGTCAACCTATCTGTCCACCCAGCCAGCAGTATACAGAGGTGTGGGCCCACCAGGTGCGCAGGTGTCTTTGGAGCAGCAGGCCTACATGCTGCTGACGGAGCCAGAGAGGCAGACCATGGCCTACTACATGCAGGAGTACCAGGAAGGACATATAGGAGTGGAGCCGCTAGCCATGGCTCTGTTTGAGCTCTTCAACACACATGCAAAGGTAACGCAGCCTGCAGCAGCTGCAGGTTAATGGACAGCTGGGTCATAGAGGGCTCAAAAATAGAGATATATGCTATATAATAATGTTCAGAAAGTACCTTGTGAAAAAAAGTTGAATATATCTGATTGTAAGAATTATAGTGTGGGACAGCTGTGGCTCAGGAGCTGTGCAGGTGGATGCCCAGCTTTGAGGTGTCTTTGGAAAACATACTGAACCCCAAATTGCTTCTGATGGCTTTTCTGTCAATGTGTGAGTGTATGCGAAAGTATCAGATGCTGTTTCTGATGAGCAGCAGCACCTTGCAGGGTACCCCCTGCTATTGATGTATGAATGTGTGACTAGAAAGGTGCTATACGAGTACAGTCCATTTTCCCTTCTTTTTTTTTCCATAGCCCTATAATCGGACAGAATTTCTATATTCTCATCTCACCAATCCAGAGATGTGGGTGAAAACTCAGATATCTATTAGATATCAGATTACTATTTTACATTAATTGTTTGGTACCATGCCCTATTCCAGTAGGTTGCACACTATCATGCTAACACAATAGATCTGTAGTCCTAGTTGTGTTGCTAAGTTGTGTAACCCAGGCCTCTGTGCCTGAGTTACCATAGTAAGCACATGTGGGTATAGCACCATAACCTGCTACCTGTCTTTAGTGAAATTCCTTAGTGACATTATGCTACCTCAGAAGATCAAAAGATCATTGGTACCCATCTCCTGAGCATCCTGAGTGATATTGGTGAGGTGAGGTGCCTACACAGAGCCCAAAGATACTAAAGTATAGTACCCACCCAGCCACAGCCTGTTCACCAGTCTGATTTCTGGTCAGGGAATGTAGGAGTTTCTGCTGTCGCACCACCAGACTGAAGAGCAGCTCTTTCCCCGAAGCTATCAGACTTTTAAACTCAAATTCATTCTCAGTAATGCTCCATTGAATATAGTATTTCTGGATACCATTTTTGTAATTGCTTTTATTTTACTGTATATTGTCTGCTACGTAGCAGAAGGGAGTTACAAACTCAATTTTACTTTACAACCTGTTGTAATGTGACAAATAAATCTACCTTGTACCTAAATTAGGCAAGTTCAGTTAGTTTTAACCCTAACCATGACCCTCTTCTAATAAAGTATTTTTGGGGTCTAACCAAATTGAGATGTTTCACAACGTTAACCAGTAGCCTAGTTTAAATTTTAAAGTCAAACTAGACGTTGCATATTTATTGTTGCAAACTTGACTCCGGAGCCCTACGCATCCAAAAACGACACAAAAGGGGTATTTAGGGTGCTAAAAGATTGACCAACTGTTAGGTTTTAGTAAGACTGAGGACCGGGGTGCGGGTACAGAACACTCAAAGCCCGTCAAAGTAAAGAGTTTATTCACAAAGGACTAGTACAAAATGGTAGTGGGTGAGATGCGAGCAGGGGCAGGCAGTCCTGGGCAGGGGCAATCCGCTCTCCTAAAGATCGTCCAAGCAGGGCAAATGACACCGGACTCAGCAACTTGAAAAAGGAGATAAACAAAAAGCATTAATCTGGGTTCAGGCAGAGACACACTGGAAACAGACTAAACGCTTGGAGCAACATATGGTGCCATCCAAGCAGTCTTTTTCAGGGACGTCCCTGTTTATTTCAGCAAGACAAGGACAAGCCACATTCTGCATGTGTTACAACAGCGTGGCTTCGTAGTAAAAGAGTGCGGGTACTAGACTGGCCTGCCAGATCTGTCTCCTATTGAAAATGTGTGGCGCATTATGAAACAGAGACCCCGGACTGTTGAGCAACTGAAGTTGTACATCAAGCAAGAATGGGAAAGAATTCCACCTACAAAGCTTCAAAAATTAGTGTCCTCGGTTCCCAAACAATTAGAGGAAAGTAGATGTAACACAGTGGTAAACATGCCCCTGTCCCAGCTTTTTTGGAATGTGTTGTAGGCATCAAGCAATTCAAAGTGAGTGAATATTTGCAAAAAACAAGAAAGTCTCAGTTTGAATATTAAATATCTTTGATGTATTCAATTGAACATAGGTTGAAAAGGATTTGCAAATCATTGTATTCTGTTTGTATTTACGTATTGCACAACGTCCCAACTTCATTGGAATTGGGGTTGTACCTCGCAGGACTTTCGGATAATTTATCACCGTTGATGAACCACAAATAATATTTTAGCGTTTTTAAATAGCCGGCTACTTGAAATCGACCCCGCGAGGAACCGCGACGTGCATACAGTTGTCGGAAGCAGTAATGCATGTAAAACTCTGCACAAGACCGGTGAATGGCAGGAGAGAGAGAGAGAGCCTCAGCTTAGCTGGAAATATACAGTGTAAGTTGAATGAAAAGAGACTGCTCGCAATCGCCGCGCACAAAAAAAACCGATTCGACTATAGGCAGGACTTGACGATTCTGATTCGACCATGTAAATTGTTACAACCCAGCTCGTTAGGGTAAGGCAGTAACAAGGTATTTGGGATTGAAATGAAGGTGGTAAAGGAAAACTGAATTTAGGTTAAAGTCAAATGTTTAATTAAATGATTTGTCTCAAGAAAAAACAACAAAAGGAGGCTATATAGGTACTGTCAAAAAAAAGGAGACAAAAGGAGGTATTGTCCAAAGACAGCTCTCTACTCAAAAAACACTGAAGAACAAAAGGAGGTCAGCACCTATATGCTTTACAAGAATGCAAAGTAACCAAACAGACAATACTCAAACCAAAAGAGTGCCACTCACACTATGTGATTTACAAGGGTTCTAACTGACGGAAGCCGCTTAAGCAGGCAACCGACAGAAACAGGTAAATGCCAACACTCAAGAAATTCACTATTAACAAGGGGTACACAACCAACAACGAGGTGAACTGATCACTGGCTCACAGTCGCCTTGAACTGCAGAGACACAAACTATTTGTAGGCCAGCTGGTGTTGATTGGCGAGTCCTGGTTGGCAGGTTCAGTCGGATCTTCGGCCACACCAATCACAGACGCCAGCAAACAGCAACCAGGAAGTTGGTGGTCCCAGGTCCAGAGGAACCAATCCTCAACAGGGACTCACAGCTGGGATTTGCATACCATTCAGAGAACTCCAGAATACAACTATTACTCTAAGGCAGCCAGCGGCAGCCGTAACAAAATCCTTAGACAGCCCTAATAAAGAGATAAAGTTTTGTTTGTTTGGGTTTTTTTTATGGGCCATGGTACTATCTTAACAGATAAGTGTTCAGTCTGCCACAGAAGATGTGTAGTCATTCACAGCACAATAGGCAACCACACCTTCATTGTTAGTTCATTGTTCGGCTGTTCCTCACCTAGTTGTATTCCTCCTATGCCTACATATTGAATTTATGATTATTAGCACCTGTTTGGTATAATTGTTTAATCAAACAATTATAATATATATCTACAAAATCCCTGACTTTGTGCAAGTGTACCTAGAGGAATTGATACTGTTTGAAGGCAAAGGGTGGTCACACCAAATATTATTTGATTTAATTTAGATTTTTCTTTTGTTCACTCTTTTTGCATTTTGTTAATTGATTAATATAATCAATTTACATGTCATTTTTTGTAAGCATTATTACTGTATATACAAAATATAATAATAAAATTAGTGATACTTATCTCACCGCACAATTTACTAACACCAATGGTTAAAATTAAATAAGTCCACTAACATCACAAAACCATCACACAAATAGACTAAATCATTTATAAACCAACAGCAGACACAGCACAGTCAAGCAGAGAAATGCATGTTAGAAAAGTAAATACAGTATACTAGTAGCCTTAAAGTAAGTGACCTCAAGAATTCAGAATGCACATATTTTTGCAGATAATTTATTCATTTCTGATAATGGCATATTTAAAACTGGCAGCGCATGTAGAAGCAGCAGCTGGTAGCTCCTTCAAACTTTGCTACACTTTTGTTTTAATATCTGTTTCTTTCTGGCTTTATTGCTGAAACATGTTATCTCCAACATAAATACAGTCATTGGAAAATAAAGACGTGGTTTTTGGAATAATGAGCAGACCACCGTCCATCCAGCCCAAACAACCAGACCAGGCGTCCGGTGATTGCTCAGAGGACAGGAAAGAGAGCCAGGATAGGAGCCATGTTGACACCAGCTTGGACTTTGTCCTCCTAAAGGTCCGGTCTAGACAAAATGGGACTCATGTCGACCAAGCAACGGAATTCAGAGACATTTGAGCCCACATCCTTACAGAGACCTGCCCCATCAACATCCTGGATCAAGCACTCGGCAGGTGGTCCGTGTTCCGAACTGTCAGCGCAAGACTCCGACAAGATGAGAGGAGGTGGACAAATAATCAATCTTATTAAAGTGCGTAAAAATTGTAAATCTAACCTGTAAAGACTTGTAAGTGCACATGTGTGGTGTAGCGTGTGGTAGATGAAGGAGAGAGAAAGACCACCAGACTCACCGGTGTTGTGCCGATCTGTGCGTGTGTAACCCCCCCAACACACACACACACAGATTCAACTATCAGTCGACTGTAGGCAATCCTTGGTGGCGGTGGCACATAAACAGATCTGCCTTCTCACCTCAACTCACCCGGTACCTCTTCACCACCTGCACATATGGACTGTGTAAATTAACAAAGTCTGGAAATGAAGGCAGTGAAAGCTCTCGCATAGTCGCTACACACTCTATTCTCATCATCAGTTCTCATCATAGTGCAGGCCTGGCATAACAAACACTGAGATAAAAAGCTCTTTCTTTACCTGCCAAAATTCCATCTTCACTGATAGTCCAGGGTTCAGGTTTGGGGATACCTCTGACTGAAAAGGATTAGACAGTGTCCATAAAATGGGAATTCGGGAAGCGTGTGTTTAATATGATGAACAATATGTATATGTAAATATAAATTGTCTGTATTTGTATAGCACCTTTCTAGTCTTTGCAACCACTCAAAGCACTTTTTACACTACAAACAGAAACTAACATTCACACACATTCATACACCAATGGAACAGCCATCAGGGGCAATTTGGGGTTCAGTATCTTGCCCAGGGACACTTCGACAGCCCCCAATATATGTCTACCTTTCCAAATTTGCTGCATTTTCTTTTGTTTGTGAACCGACTGCATCAAAAAAAGTGCTCACAAGCACCTTGATTTCTGTGTCAGAGAATCTTTTTTACTCTCTTTATTCCGTCTTCCTCTCAGTTGTTGTTGCTGTCATTCACGGTAAGCAGGCTCAATCACATTCATCAGTATTGATGAGGTGCTTTGCATCAACCATTTAAGGCTGAATTTGGGCATGTAGAGGGCTGGATATGAGGTTGATCCGTGTGCGTAAATTTCCAGGTGGAGTGTGATTTATAAAGGGCAAGTTACCTGAGTTGTGCTTATGCAGGGTTTGATAAATCAGATTTTTTTAGGCTTAAGCCATTTACAGTTTTTGTGCGCACGTGCACCTTTAGTATGGATTCTACACACTGTTTTAGAAATGAAGCCCCTGGATTTAACATTTTTCAGTTACCTAACTAGGTAAAACTTCCAAATTCCAGAGTGAAAACAAATGACTTAAAGACTTAAAATGATTGATGATGATGATTGATGTCAAAATGTATCTCTACGACAAATCCTCAATTTCAACAGTTAGATCAAATATGACATTATATAGTGGTAATGAAATGCAACAAAGTCAAGTTTATTAAACAAGCTAGACAGCTTCTTAACTGACAGTGTCTCCATTAGCTTGTTGTGTGATGCATTGGACTTTAATGAGCCACAGGAAGTGATGCAGCCAGATAAGACATTGCAACACATTCTCACTTCCAACTTGTCACATATGTACACTTGATCAAGACCCCTTGCTTCGCTTTTTAACACCCTGGGTACCCTTATACTTACCCCAAACACCTTCTTACTCTGACTTTGCTGTTAAATATCCTACACCTACCTTTAGCGTTCATCAATGACACTACAGAGCTTCCCCTAGTGTGTTAAACTATGATGCTAAGGGGCTCCCCCGTGCGTTACAAACTGACCCTAACGTGTTTTGACCATGCCTCTATATGTGACAATTTAGGAGTGAGAAGGTTTTGGACATTTAATTAACGTCAAGGTTAGGAAATGGTATGATCCATTTTAGGGGTGTCTGAAATGGTATATCAAGATTATTGAATATAAGGCATGAATATGGGAAGTATATTGTAGTATTTATAATTACAGGTTAGAAAAACCTCCCAGAACTGTTCTCTGTCCTCTTTTTCGAACCATGGCTTTTCCTAGAGCAGGTTTACTCTCTCTTCAAATGGGGGAATCCAAATTAGTACCTGGGTCATCCTGTTTTGTATACGTGTGTACCCCTCCACCTCTGTCACTACTCAGAAGTGATGAGTCTTCCTGCAGATCGGTCATAAGGGGTGGAGCTCCAGTGCCCCCTTTCCTCCGGTGCACAAGCGTATGCATTTCCTGTGTTTTCGACGTACGCAACCTTCAGGAGTCTTTTCTTATAAATGAGACCCCTGGGGTCTCAAGCTGTACGTAGAAAAGACTTCTAAAGATTGTGTACATACTAAACACAGGAAGTGCGTATGCACAAAAATATTCAGATTTATAAAACAGTGCCCATGCACGACCTACGCCGATTTCCCTTTATAAATCCCAGTCAACTTGAAATGTGGCGGATGTGAGCGAGCTCCTTGTCCGACCCTTTAAACGCCCATAGTTGCATATAAATGGTCAGTGAAACGCCCCTCATTAATATATATATATATGACGAAAATGACAAATTCTACAAAATCTACAAAAAGAAATTTAACTCAGTGTGACACTGACGTTCGTTTTGGTGAAGCTGAAGCTTGTTGTTTGGTGGGTAAAACGCAGACATATACACAACGTTTGTGCACCAGAAGAAAAGGGGCTCCGGAGCTCCACCCCTTTATAACCAATCTGAAGGAAGGGGAACACAAGACTGGATGACCAAGGTACTAATTTGAATACCCTAGTTTGAAAAGAGGGTAAACCAAATGCATTCCACTTGTGTTTACACATTTATTTAGGCTACACAAACACTCCACTCACTTAATGAGGCTGCTGATAAGTTAAAAGAAAAATGACTTGTTTTATGTGACATAAGCTAAGATTTACTTAATAAAATTGTGTTGTATATTCCATAACGTGTTTTTACAAGCAGCGCATCACATCGCTGCACAACGCTGACACAGCGTTTGGCTCGAAAAAGACAATGAACATCTGACAACTATTTGGGCGGCAGTAGCTTAGACCGTAATGATTAGGCTGGGATCGGCGGTTCGAGTCCAGCTCGGACCAGAGTTGCAGAGTGTGGACTGGTAGCTGGAGAGGTGTCAGTTCACCTCCTGTGGACTCAGTGGCAGCCCCCTCGCTCTGACATCTCTCTGTGTGTTTGACATTAACAACAGAGTGAAAAAACATTGAATTTTCCCTTGAGAGATTAATAAAGTTTGTCTACTTCTTCTAACAATATATGAAATTATGCACTTGTATTTGCTCGACTGATGCATCGAAAACAGCATCAATTTAAATGTAATTTGTCCTCCTGTTCACTTAAAGAGAATAAATTGCACTGCATGCGCTGCATTAGTTAATATGATTCCTGATTAAACTGTACAACATATTTTAGGTGTTCTTTTTCTTCTTTAGGTGTTTGTGTTTATTATCCTAAATCATGGTTCTTTTTGTGCACTGTATATGATCTTATGTTGTCTTTATGTTTTATTGTGCACTACAGGGAAAATCAACCAGTGGGTGTTTGTTTATTCAGAAAGGCTTTAAGCCTATAATACTCAGAGGTGATATTTCGATTTATTTTACACAGTAATAGGCCTCTTCATTTCAAACCGTTTCATCCTTCTGCCATGTGAGTCGCTGTTTCTCATTTCTCCAGTTTATGTGCGTACGCATGGCTCAGAGTTTACGTGGAGGACTGCACATTCTCCCGTCAAGTTTGTTTTTTATAGATCATAAACTTTGGTTGTGAAGAGATGTACGCATGTTTCCAGCCCTGTTTTGAATGTACGCACCGTTTATAGATGAGGCCCCTGAACTGTAGTCTTTGAAATATATAATCTATATATTATTTCAGTTTTGTTTTCTCGTCTTCTCTCCTCTCAAGGTGTCCATGTTGTCTGAAGTGAGGAGTCTGGTGGCTCCCGAAGATCTGGACTTGTATGACAGGCTGGTGTTGCACCATGAGAGGGAGGCCCACCAGGCTTGGCATGGAAGCCTCGGAGTGCTGCATCCACAGGGCCACTGCAACCACGAAGCACCTGTGATCCATGATACAGGACACACTGTCCCTGCTATGGTAGATCCTTTATCTACTATACCTGAAAATGTGACAATCATGTAATATTGTGTGTGGTAATTCTATTTTCTTGTTGACTTGTTAGCCACTTTAATGTGATCTTAAACTTGTCAAAGTTATTTTTTACTACTGACTACCTTGTTGCCAGCTTTTTTTAGAAGGGTGATAACCAAAAATGTTGATTTAAAATTATTTACTACAAGCTTATTGTAATTTACTGGCACAAACTGCTGTTCGTTCATTTCTATCAACAACAGAGACTGTACCCTTTTGAACAGATGTGAGATTATGAGGTATATCTTAATCACACACATCAAAAATAAATAAATAACACACAAAAACCCCCAGCAGAGGCTACACACACACAACCTTACTGAGAGTGCAAGCGGTAATTTACTGACGTGGTTTCAGATCATTAGTCTAGAAATATGTATTTATAACGCTAACGACATTACTACAGACGACAGATTGAACAATAAGGACAGCTACCTAATACTACCAGCTATGGTTACATGACGTTAGCCTAAACACGGTAGTCTGTAGCGTTTAGCTATTGCAAATGTCATTTGTTACATAGTTGGCCAGGCGACACAGCAACGCCACAAAAATAATAATAATAACACAAAGCACTTCCATACACGACTCTTAATGATTTTCTTTTCGATGAGTTGAGGCAGAGCTGTCGCTATAGCTGTGCTTATCGCCCTCTTCTGCGTGTTGGATGCCCGTTACTTTCGGTACCTAGAAAAATGACTACTGACATGTTTTCAGAATTCTGGTATTGACTTGGTACTGACATATCGGTTCTCGTGACATCCCTAATCCACTTAAACATTTTACTTAGTCTTTAGTTTTGTTACTATTAAGCTCAGAGAGAGGACCTTCACCCTCCATATGGGATTAATCTATACTTTTGCCTCCTTTTCATTGACAGGATGAAATGCAAGCTTTAGGTGAATCTCCTCCACCCTTCAGGGCTGCTCCTCTGCTGGCTCAGAGCAAACCATCTAGGGAGAAGGAGCTCAGCCGGAAGCCTTCAGCCCGGCTGGTGCAGGCTGGCTCCAATATGCTCTTCACTGGCCCCACTCGGCTGCTCCAGGACTGCCTCCACAAGTCGCTGAAATCCCTGCCCACTACCCATCAGCCCTCACCATCTGCCCAACACACTTGCACCAGTGCCATCCACCACACTTCCCTCAATGCACTGAATCACACCTGCCAGAGTTACCTCCAGCTCTCTGACTCTGAACACCACAACCACTTAGCTCATTGCTTCCACCACCATGCTTCCAACCACAGTCGGCCCAGTTCAGGACACCATACCTGCCCAGGCTTCCTGGCCCATCGGGACACCTCCAGCTTTGCTAAGCCAGAAGCACCTGACAAGCTCTCTTCCAGATCCAGCTCCTATGAGAAATCCTCCATCTTGTCGAAGTCTGTGCCCTCTTCCAAAGCGGCATCTCCCATGCCATCCCCTCATCCATCACCCCGTCCCTCACCATGTCCCTCGCCCTGCCCCTCTCTCATCACACCTGCTGCTCCACCCTGTAGTCCTAACAGGCCTTGCTCACCTGCTCTGATACAGAAAGTCATCATAACAGATATGAACCGGCTGTCTGCAGACTCCAGACCACAGCAAAGAGGTACAAGTCTGTGAGTGTGTCTGTGTGCGGCTTTGGGGTGTGTGTTGTATACCTGTGCAGAAATACATCTCTTGTATGCCTTGTCATACAAGATAAACTTATTAGGCAATATGTTATTATTATAATTTTTATTATAGCATAATCTCTAATACCCAACAACATTGCCTTTGTGATTGTATAAAGCAACATATCTAAGTGTCATTTGGCAGCTGAGTTGTTGATCTCCTGCTAGTGTGTAAATTCTCAAATAAAAGCACATATTCAAAGCCTTAAATATTAAGAATATTTTTGCACTCTAATGAAAGCCCCTACAGTCTGAAAAAACAAGAGACATTACTTACTATACTACATGACTCACATGATGAATTCTGCATAATAGTGATGTGTTGGTCGCAAACAAGACTCTTATTGGTGAATGTTTGTTTTACAATGAGGATAGATATTCTTGACAAATCCCATTTTATAACTGTCAGTATGAAATTTCAAGGTATTGCAGATGAAGAATCTTGCATTTTTATTTCTTGGAACAAATAGGAATGTTATTTAGGCAGTAACCATCAAAAGTGGTCCTAAATGAAGAGCCTTTTTGAAAGCCGAAAGATAATATAATATGTTCTGATAATAATATTTGCATACACACAGGCTTTGCTATCTATCCAGCTCAAGGTAAAAAATGATAAAACTATCTTTTCCCCAACTTCTCACAGCAAACACACTTACTTTCATGTGACAGTACTTTTATCATTAAAATTCTACTCTAACACAGTAATATTAACCTATTAGCTGGTAAGTCACAATTTATTCCCTACAAAATTAAATAGAGGTGAAACAAAAAAAAATGCAATATATATATTTTACAATACTTTATAAAAGAATTGTGGGTTAATTCTGCGTGTAGCTATATTTTACAAAACTGACTATACTGTATTAGGGCTGTGCAATTAATGGAAATTTTATCACAATTTCGATTTTCGGCTTCCAACAATCTTAAAAACAAAGTAATCAAATTATAATGATTATTGTGCGCATGCTATTTTGGAATGACACTTGTTTTGTCTTGTGTTATAAATCCAGTGCATTTCAGCTTGAGCAGGGTTATAACTGCTACAACTTGCTAGTCACCATTATTAGCTTAAGTCAGAGAGAAAGTATACATGACATTCCATCAAACTCATTTTTGACAGCTATTTCCGGTCCCACCACCCCCACCGGATGTCTGTATGTAACTGATAAGAGGGGGTGCATCCGGTCCCGCCCCAGCCGGAAATATGTCTGTATGTAACTGATAAGAGGGGGTGCATCCTGTCCCGCCCAAACGGAAATATGTCTGTGTGTAACTGATAAGAGGGTTGCGTACATCCTTCCATTGTGTGTTTTTCATTGATTTAAAGACTTTATTAAGTAATACAACTTGAATGAATTAACTAGGAGGTGTTTGTGACAATAAATTTATCATTAAAAAAGTATAGCAGTGAGTTATAAGTAAAGGAGGAATCTCCGGGGCCAGCAAAGGATCAGTAGGAGGTTTCTTTGGAATCAAGTCAGTCTTTATTATTAAACAAGTGAAGAATAAATTGAAATAATGACAGTAAAGCAGTAAAATGGTATAACGGTGAGTAAAAATTAAACAGCATTATAAATTACCTTCAACAGCATGCAGCAAAATAAGAGTGAGTTCCAAAATTAAACTTTGTAAAATCTTTGCTAAAGCTTTGTGTGACAAACTTACCATCATTAAAGAACTAAAGAATAAAATGAAATAATTACAGTAAAATAGTATAACAGTGAGTTCAAATTAAACAGATTTTTTAATTAACTTCAAAATCTTTGCTAAAGCTTTGTGTGACAAACTTACCATCATTAAAGAACTAAAGAATAAAATGAAATAATTACATTAAAATAGTATAACAGTGAGTTAAAATTAAACAGCATTTTAAATTACCTTCAACAGCATGCAGCAAAATAAGAGTTAATATAAGAGAGTTCCAAAATTAAACTTTGTAAAATCTTTGCTAGTGCTTTGTCTTACAAACTTGCCATCATTATCACTCCAAAGCTGTAGCCTAGTCTTAAACTTGTGAGTCTTAAAACTTTAATCCTTCTAGAGTCTGTGTCTCCTCTTCTCTGTCCTCTCTCTTTCTGGTGTAGCATAGGCTGTGGGGTGAATTGAGGAATGTGCTCCACCCCCCGGACCTCCTTCCATCCCTCCCCTCCCTCTGTTTTCTCAATGAGCCACATCAAGTTGTGTGTTTTAACTGTCATTAGCATCTTCAGGTAATCTTGTAGACCAGTTATGGAATAGAGTTATCTATAACCCCAGACTCCGGTTGTTAAAAACGGTCTGGGTTTATCAGACAGAGTTCGTTTTCGAAACAGGAACCTATTTTTATCAGCCGGAGACAAGAGTTTGGAACTGCAGACTATCTAATAATCTGGTTGTACCAGAAGTAACGGCCCCCAACCCCTCACCAGTTATTTCCCACATGCTGTCACATACAAAATAAGAGGGTGGGCAGAGTTACCGTGAGCCAATGATAAGAGACTAGGAGGGGTTACCATAGGCCAATGATGGGGTCTGTGAAAATAAAAAGAGAACATTGTCTTCAAGAAATTGCCAAGAGGGCACTTGGATCCTTGAGCAGTATCTACCTACCAAAGAGGGGACCTCCATGCGGTTAATTTTTTTCAGCTAATGAGTGTTTGTATCTGTTAAAGACTTCTTGTTTCTTTCAAAAATGGAAATTTTAACATCAGTGTTAGTAATATTTAAACATTTCTCTGTGATCCAAAAATATTCAGGGCCACTTTATTGAGAATTTACAGTTTTACCTGTTATTCAGAAATAACTTGGATGCATGCACAAATATCAAGGATTGCAGTATTAGCAGCAAAAGGTACTTTATCCAGGGTTCAATTATATAAAATGTCTTATTACACTAGTGCAGTCATTTAAACTTTCTCTTCAGGTTTGTCTGTGGTGCTTGGTCATTTGGTGAAGTAGGCCTTTTTAAAGGGCCTTCATCTTTATCTTATTTTGTATTTGCTCTTCATAATTATAAATTAGGACTAAAATGCTCAGCAGCATGATCCTATTTTTTAAGTAATCACTAAAACAGGTTTATCAACTTTTACTAAACCTTTGGTATAATTCTGTCCCCAAATATTGTGAAATGAAATTGACCAGTTATAGACAAGATTTCTATCAATTTTGCAATGTACTTGTTTCTTCAATCTAAATTTTATAGGATTGCATTTTATTTATTGACTGCATTACAGAAACGTCCATTGTTGGCTGGCATGTAATGACACGGAGTTCCCTCTTAGTTCCTTCCTAGCTAGCATGGAGTGACACTCCAGCATGGATGAATAAAGAATGGGGTATTTCTATTAAGAGAATATTGTAATCTAAACTAAATATTTAATTTTTAGTTACACTTACAAAATAAGGACAATTCTTATGTAGCAAAAAAAAAAAACTACAAGTGTTAACAGCGTCCAAATAACTCTAAATGTAGTCTTTCAGTAACATATAGACTATGTCCCTCATTCTAAACTGAAGCCTTACTCATAACTAAGTCACTAGTCATGCTAATAGGCCTCCTCTTTCCCTTTAGTAAAAAAAAGCTAGAATTATAAAAAAATATAGTTTACAACTTCATCAACTGGAAACTTCAAGAGCTAAAGTTTGATCCTTCTACTGAGAACCAGCTGCCTTTTGCTAATTAGGGTTTATTAGACTATTACAGAGGTCATGAAATCCAGAACCCTTCCCTTGGGGATGAAGTATTCAAATGCTAGTTAGCTACTTTGTTGACATAACATGACAGTAGTTTTCTGTTGAAAATAAAACAGAAGGTTATAATAAATCTCCTACAGGTAAAAGAATAAAAATCAGCTTCTTTATTTTGGCTCAACCGTGATCTGTGCTAATAACACTTATTGCACGTTCCAAAGCTCAACAGGAACCAGCAGCTTCAACAACAAAAGTCTGTAACAATATCTATCATATGGCTTTTTATTTTTATGTAATGCCCAGATTTACCACGGGGTTCTTGACTAGCCAGAACAGGATGTTCAGCAGTCTTACACTGTTTCATTGCAGGTCTTGCATTCAACCATAGTGGCTAGTTTGCCCTTGACAATAAGGTTTTAGTAAAAAGTCTCATCACTGCTGCGACCTCTTTTTTGAGACCATGCTGTTTCTATTTTTTTTTCTAGTGTCCCCTTCCATAGCATTTTTCAGAGACACTACAAAAGAGGAAAACAGATTGCCATCGATAACCCAAACTCTAGGGTTAACTCGTAATTTTCATTACATTTGTTATGTAGTAAATCTACAACTGCAAAGCAATTTAGTGATCCCTACCATGTAGTGATCAAATGCCAATGCTCTCTCTCTCTCTTCCCCATATTTAAAATGTGTAAATCTAATACCGCAAACTCATCAGGATCAATCTTCTATGTGTAAGTTAACATGTTGCAAATTTTACCCTTGCTACTAAGAGTTAGTACAGGACACGCAACATAGTCCTCATTTTCCGAGCTGCTTTCTGAGCTGCTTTTGTCAAGCTTTGTGAGACGTGAAAACATTAATTTCACCCCCACAATGTTTCTACATCACTGAAAAGAGCATGTGAAAATCTAGTTTTGGGGAGAAGTCTGTTTTTGCTTGTGATAAGCTAGCCCAAATCGCACCATCAAAACTTCTAGTTTCACATTTAAAAAATCCTGCCCCCGCCTTCATACTATTTACTTGTTTTGTGAAGCACATGCAGGAAGGATTGAATTACAATCAGCAGTGGTTTTACATGTCAACATTAGGTTATTGCAGAACAACAAAGAAGCCCCCTGCTGTGAAGAAGCATTTTGAGTAACAGAATTACATATCATGACAAATACATTAGTATGTACCACCGGTTGTTGTGGCACTAAAAACTGAGTTGATGGCTCACTATGACTCTGAACTGATAGTAAAACACATACTTTTGTATTTGTATTGT